CTCGTTTATGGCAAGACTTGTCCTCGAAGGTGAATGAACAGTTTGTCTTTAATTGCATAGGTAACGCATCAGTTGCGGTCTCAGCGTAACTCGCCCCTGTTTCACATCTGGTTCGGGTAGTCAACTATTTAAGGAACACAACTCCGAACTCTGGGGTATGCTTTGGTGCTATATTCCGAAAACGCTGTAAGATGAGTAACCAGATTCTATGGTTTCCGTCTTTTAACCAGCAGTGGTTATTACGTATTTACTGCTAGCGAAATGAGACAATTTCTGCTTCCTGTTCGAGCGAGAAACCAGTTTTTCTCCTCCGAAGAGGCAACTCGGCAGTCATTTCCTTCTAAGTATCGACAATGCTGTTCGATTTCTTACTCGGGGATGTCTGTGCCCGCCATAAACACACTTGACAAAGTTGCCTGCGTGATCGTTATCGAAACTTATCCGATCGGTTGACTTTGTAAGGGTTAGAGTGCTTGCCATGTTATCCCACTCACTCGTGGCGCATCATATTATTTGCCGATTCCAAGCGGGAAGCTACACCTGCAGTGACACCGAACAATTTCGCTAAGCCCTCACAAGACCTACTTGTTCCTTTTTGGAGTTACAAAACATTTACATGTATAAGAAATGTTCGGGGGCACCAGGTCTATAAAGTCACAGAATGAGTTCTCTCAAAAGTTGGATACCTCTTCAGCTGTATGTGCTTCCGAAGCTCAGCCATAATGATAAAAGGATCTCTCACTTCCAGAGATCCTGCCCGCCTCACGGTCGCACCCCTTCACTACTATCAACAAAAATGCTGAAATACTTGTATCGAGGGTCGATACTTATTACAAAGATTTCAGGCATTTCATTGGCAGTCAAATGTCAACGTTCAACATGTCGGTGTGGACGATATGGTGCTGCTCAGCAAACTTTCCGAGCAGTCAATTGCCGATAACTTGAAGAAACGGTTTCATGCAAATAGCATTTTTGTAAGTGTTTTCATGTTTGCCCAAATATTCAGCAGAACCGCGGAATAGAGAAGAACGACGGATGAAAGTTTGGTTTTTACGTTTCCGTGGCCAAGAAAAACCTCATAAGTTTCGAACTCTATTGAAGTTTCGAGTATTTTGATTTCTTACCCACTTTTGAAAGAAAACCTTTTCACACGACCCCATCGACTGGAGGTTCCGCCTGGCATTTCGTGTGATATCCACTCGACGGATTATAAACTGAAGTGCTGAGTGTTGCTTCATTCTAAATGCAGCATACAACTGTCGGTAGCATGAAACTGTTGTAAACGAATGCTTTGCCGTGATGGTCTCTTAAAAGAGGCTGCTAGAATATTCATCTGAATTGATCAGCTTCATTTGTCCCTCATTTCAGACATATATCGGGCCGGTGCTCATCTCGGTGAATCCATTCAAACAAATGCCGTATTTCACTGAAAAGGATATGGATCAGTATCAAGGAGCAGCGCAGTACGAAAACCCGCCGCACATCTACGCCTTAGCTGATAATATGTACAGGTACAATTTGAATTCCTTCTTAAAAAAGCTCGTTTCTTGGAGCCAGTGATCTAAAGCCTTCTGGTGCTGTGTGTCACCTCTAGGTAGCTCTAGAGTGAGCGATTTTGGTCACTGGGTACTTTTGGAGACCCGTTGTTCTTCTACAAAATCATCAACCGCTAAAATTTTTCTATCAACTTCGTTAAGGAGAAAGCCAAAAAGGAGAAAGTCTATATCGGTGTCCATAGCCGAGGCTTTCTAGTCAGTCCTTTTCTTCAACTAGGTTGATCACTGGAATCCTCTGGAATGTCACTTCGCGAAGGTATTTTCGCAACCCAAGCTCACTCCAGTGGTGCACACATTCTCTGTACATAATTTGAAAGGCTGAGAGGGTAGGAGGTGGGCTTGGGGATGCAATGGTAGCACCCTTGTAGGAAAAGCGAGACACGATTCAGAGGTTCCGGCTCAGGCAGAGCGTTTTGCTCATTGCTAAGCTCTCTTATGATACATATGACAGTACAAATCATGGCCTACATAATGATACTTATTCGAATCACGGCAGTTTTTACAGTTTTAAAAAGGCTGTTTTCCCCAGCATATTAAAAAAATAGCATCCAAAACCATTCGAAGACATCGCTAATTATTTCAGGAATATGTTAATCGATAGTGAGTCCCAATGTGTGATCATTAGTGGTGAAAGTGGTGCCGGTAAAACCGTTGCTGCCAAATACATCATGAGCTACATCTCGCGAATCTCAGGAGGTGGACAGAAAGGTCCAGGTTAGTATACTCAAATTTCTACTTGAATTACATGATCCACTCCATTTTCTGCTTGTAGTAATCGAGCATCAAGCAAAAGCGGTATATAACCCTGCCTTCTTTTCCGTTTTTTTTTTTCGCAAAACTTTATTGCAGTCTTGAGCACAAAATGTTCCATAGTATAGCAGTCCATTAACTTGTAGTTTAAAGGGATAAATCGGAGTAGATCAGTTTTTCTTCTCGCTTCTAACACAAATATATTTATCATTTTAGCCCACGTCAAGACTCATCCTGCAATCGAACCCTCTGTATGAATCAATTTTGGAAACATGCGAACAGTTGTAACTGGAATTGTCGCGTTTTCGTCGAAGTAATGTACAAATAAGTGTTGAGTCGCGGAGGGCGAATCCAATGGCGGAAGGTTGGTGGGAAATTTTGCTTCGAGCATTATTTTCATTCGTATTTCGACGGACATCCATAACATCATTATGTGCCACCTGGGGCCGGGCATCCTCATGCATGATTTCAGGGCTTTGAAGTTGAAAGCGTCGCAGGCATATTCGTTATTGTTCGAAGTGAGGCTATTGCGTTTTTTTATTCATCCATACGGTCCCATATGTTGCAAAATGCACTGCTCGACATTGTGCTACGTAGCGTGGATGAGGTAGTCGTGGAAATTGTGTGGTTTAGAGTTGGTCATAATGAGCTTACGGCGCAGTTCGGCTTCGGTGGGGCACCAAGTGGTGCTCAGCCAAACTTGTACAGGTCATTTTGTGAAGAACTGAAAATTCCTGTGACAACAGTGGCCCCACCGCTACCAATTAGGCTGTTTCACGAAATTTCACTAATCGTGAGCAACTGTTAGTATAACAGAATTAGCAGCTAGCGCGCTGAATGCGCTTTCTACGACGGCGATGAGTTCTGTGTTCTCGGGCGAGACCGCACAGTTGCTATTATTATATTCTGGCATGAGACGGCTATTGATATGGGCTCACTCACAGAGAAGAATCCCCACACGAAAGCATGGTGGAGCAGAGGTGAATGATTGGCACCTGGAAGTCTCGAATGCGAGTAAGATCCAGTCTCGTCTTGATGTCAGTCAGTCATCCAGATGCGGTAGAATTGCTCGAGAGAGATCGAAAGAGCCTGGTGAAAGTCACGAAAAGTTAACCCAAAAAGATTTCATGACCCTGGGGAGCTTGTGGCTGGGATTCGAATATTCCGAGTAAATACGATCTTGTTTGCTGCCAATGCTAGGGCGTTTTAGAGGGCCGGCGCGTAGATGCCGGCTTCTCGCAGAATCCAGCCTCGCTGCAGCGCCCCAGCTTCCGCAGCGAACAAGACAAAACCATCAATAGGATTTGGATGTAACCCATGGAGGCTTGAAAGACATCCCGTCGGAGCAGCTTAATGAAAGCAAAATACAAAGGACTATCATAAATGTTGCTATAGCTTACGGAGTCCAAATTGCGGTGTCGAACAGTAATCATCAAAATAGAACTGCTCTAGAATGAAATGTATTTTTGGCACAGTTTTTGACCGAGTTCCGGATGCTCGAACTACATTAGACGTTCAACATCCCTAGCTGCCTGCTGATGGACTCGTTTGTTCATTGTAATCCTAGCTTAGCTTCTTTGAGTAGTTATGAATACAGCAACTGTCCAGAGCAGTTAGACCATGAGGACGTGGTGACAGCAAAAACGACCCAAGTGGACTGTTGAAGGAAAAATCTGGCAGCCTGGTGGGAGGGGTATAATGACAAATCGAACAAGCCAGCGGGAAGTTAAAGATAGAATAAAGGGGTTAAGGACAAGTGGCATGCAACATAAACACCCTTAATCCTAGTCAACTACAAGGGAATGCAGCCTCAAAGTTGTGGGACTGCGATTGCCCCCCCCCCTCCTTCAATGCCCTGCCCTAAGGGTGGATCGGATCTCCCTTTTCCAGTGAATTGTTGGGATCCTTTGTTTACAGCAAGATCAATTGTGAAATTCAGCTGACGAACTTCCTGCTCGAAAAATCGCGTGTAGTTCGACAAAATCGTGGTGATCGGAATTTTCATATTTTCTATCAGCTGTGCGCCGGCGCCGACAAGAACATCAGATGTAAGCTAATTTTTGTCCTTTTTGTGAAAAGAGTTTCAGGGGATAACAGGCGAGGCAGAGAATTCAGATAACTTGTAATTGTAATGAAATTTCTGTTAGTATTTAGCGTTCATTGCGTATCCAACAGATCGGTACATCAGAAAGTAAAGCTAAAATGAGACAGTTTTTGATTGCTTGTCCAGATTCAATCGAAACAAATTCACAGTTAAATATTTACGGTTTCACCCCTAATATTTATATAAACGCGGTTTATTCTCAGTAGTCTTTACTGGAATTTCTCTTGATCCACTATGGCGCATGGCTTGGTAACTTGATGATGATCCGGCAAGTGCTCTTTGTTCCGTTTTTGTTTTAAAGGGGGATTTTCCGATGGGGAAAGAGGGGGGGGGGGTCGTATTTGGGCTGAGAAAATTTTTTTCGATAGTTGATTTTCCTTGTTTCAGGGACGTTACAAAGGGGAGGGAGGTCGTGTTTGCTCATTGTTTGGATGGGGATCGTATTTCCCTTCTGACCCTATAAGAAAAGTTTGCTGACTTTTCTGGTTTTTTTTTTGCTGTTTCACATGTGCACTGAATATATCTCTACCCTCCTGCTCGACAGGAAAATTATCGGGTAAAAGTTAAAACATTCCCAGGAAATCCCGGAAAAAGTAGTAATAAGTGGGGGGAAACCCAAGGAATGGTGAGAGAGAGGTCTTGTACTCCAATTTTCCACAGCTCGATGAGGAGGGAACCTGTGGGGGTCGGGGGGGGTCGTACGAAACTCGGAGTGCTGCTATGAGTTTCTTCACAAGGTTTCAATCAGGATCATCGACTTCAGTACTTAGTAGAGTAGTCAAATAAAAGTCGAACGGGAATATTTTTGCCTATAACGTTTCACGATTTCCGAAAAATGGCTCCATTTCAGCGACGCTCGGCATTGGAGATCTCGACTACTTCAACTATCTGAATCAGAGCGGTGTGTACAAGGCTCCAGATACTGATGACGCCAAAGAGTTTCAGAACACACTGGTTAGTGATACGCTTCTTTACATGGGTCTTTTTGCGATTGTGCTGGAACCAATCAGTAGCTCATGTAGGAACACCGGCCCAATTAATAGCTTGATGAAATTCCGATAGTTGCTTGGGCGAGCACTCCCCGCACGGTCGCCCTCGATTCTTGCCTTTAAGATATTTCTTAGAAATAAGCCCTGTCAAATAAAACGCAGTAGCATTCACTATACCGTTTTCCGTCTTCCTAAAAGTGACCACCTATTCTTAGGAAACCTTATATGGAGTGCCGTTATAGTTGTTCCTTCATAAGCAGTTGTATCCAAGGCACATCATGGCGATGAGGGAGTTCGATTCTCTTCCACCGCTTCCTCTAATTCGGCTTCAACCCGACACTCAATTCCACTTACGTCCTTACCTCCAGTTTCCCAAGGAAGTCAGAGCGGTGATCGGATGAACAGCAAGGGAGAGTAGGAACAGAGATCTCATACTTTCTCCCGAAAATTCTCACTTTTTATCCCTTAATGCGGACTTCTCCCAGCTCACTGAACACGTTTTGATACCTCTCTACTTCCTTCTCGTTAAGAAGTCCTCGAGCATGATTTGTCGTACATGCACCCTGGAAATGACATGATTTTTCCTCCTTCAATGTTGATTTTAAACATGCGTGAGCGTGGCAGAAAGCATGGAAGCAGCTCTGGTCTATGCCTGCATAGATCAAGATGTACTTTCTTCTCTGAAAAACTTCGCCCTTCAGTTCGTTTTAATGGGAGCACCAAAAACTGACTTTGCCTTTCCAGCATGCAATGAAAGTTGTGGGCATCAGTGAAGAAATCCAGTTGGAAATACTGAAGATCGTTTCCGCTGTACTGCATATCGGAAACATCTCTTTTGTCGAGGAGAGGAATTTCGCCGCCATAGAAAACGCAGATTGTGAGTTTGTGGTTACTTGCTTTAACAGTCTCCAAGAAACGCTCCTTTGATTGGATGCTTAATAGTCTCCAAGAAACGCTCCTTTGATTGAATCGGAGTAAAAACTTCTTTTTCTTTTCAGTTCTGCAATTTCCTGCCTATTTACTTGGTCTTTCTACAGAAGCCATTCAAGGCGCGAGAAAGCTTACTGGCGAGAATGATGGAAAGCTAAGTACAGTTTATGGTGTTTTTGTATCAGCTTTATATCAAGCTATTTCAGCAGTACAGTATACAAGTAATGTCCGCTTGGGAACAATCAGGGAACGCTGAACGTGGGTTCGCGTACCGGGAAGGTCTCGCGTAGGTTTGCCGGAGGCTCATGAGGCAGCGAACATCCAAGTCCTTAGGTGTCCTTGAGGACACGGATGCGAAGGTTGCAAAGAGCCCGGATGACTGGAGTGAAGGTGTCAAACTCTTCTACAATGGAGCAGACACCAAACGGAATGGCGTGGCCATAGCGGTAGCGGAATCCCTGAAGGACTGCGTCTCTTCCGTGAACAGAATCAGTGACGGGAGGAGGAATGATCAATGTGATGAGAATGAGCGCACGATGGAGGGTACTGGACCATACTGACGTGTACGCACCACAATCCGGCTGCTCCGAGGCGGAAAAGGATGAGTTCTACCTTATCCTGGACGACGCCATAAGATCGGTTCCAGAAGACGATTACCTCACCATAGCTGGGGATCTGATGTACGGCCAAGATGACAAAAAGCAGGTGCACTGAGCAAGGAATAGGAGCGAGAAATTGCTGAAGAGAGAACGATACTTGACCTAGCCATAACCGACACTTAGCAATCTCTGTAGCACCTTCCTTCGGCGCAAAAGGACGGACTCAGAAGGTAACCCTACAGCAGTGAGGAGACAAACGGAAGTTACACGTCACTGGTGAGGTCGTCTCTCAAAACTGTCAAGGATGTCAAGGTACTGCCTGGGGAAGACCTGGGCCCTCAGCACAGACCTCTCCTGGCAGATATCGCGATAGACCTCCCCAAGAAGACGAGGGTGAAAACAGAGCGAAGGATTCGCTGCGTGGACAAAATGCGGAACGCAGAAACGTGATAGCCTCGGCCGAAGATACTGGAGGCTGGGCTCCCGGACCCACATGGGCCAGTCCAGGACACCTGGAGCCACGCAACAGCAGGTCACGTACAGTGGCAAAGAATCCTGGGAGAGACGCGAGGCGGTATCCGAGGAGACAAGGCAGCCTGGTTCTGGAACGAGGAAGTCCAGAGGATCGTCAAGCAGAAGAAGGAAGCATACAAAACGCTGGCAAAAGACACGGAGCCCAGAAGACTACGCTGCCTACAAGAGCTGCAAGCGACTCGCTAAGGCGGCCGTTGCTAAGGCCAAGAATACGGAAATGGACGCCCTGTACGACAAGCTGGAAGGCCGAGAAGGGGACAAGTTCGTCTCCGCCTGCACTAAAGCCTCGACAATCGCGCGCGCTCAGGACATTCAATCGTCGATAAAGAACTGTAAGGCCCGATCAACGGCCATTCTCAGAAACCAGCCGAAGTCAGAAGGAGATGAAAGAGTACTTCCTACTGAACGAAGAATTCTCCCGCAAGGATAGCCCACAGATAGAAGCAACAGCAGGACCCATCACTCCCTGGACAGGGATGAAGTCCGCAGGGAAGCTAGGGAGAAATGGAAAGCAGTGGGTCCAGACGGAGTACCGATAGAGGCATGGAAGGCTCTGGGAGAGCTTGGAGTGAGTTGGCTAACAGACTTCCTAAACAATGTTACGGCTGAAGGAAGCTATGCCAGAAGCTGGCACAGGAGCAGCACAATCGTCACTTCTTCAAACAGAAGGTGACGCGCACGGAGTGCGTCAACATACCGCAGCACCCATACCATGAAGCTGTACGAGCGCGCTGTCAACACTAGGCTGAGAGAACTTGTCCCTATCTCGCAGGAACAGTTCGGCTTCATGCCCGAAAGGTCCACCACTGACGCCATCTTCATCGCCAGACAGCTGATGGAGAAGTACCGAGAGAAGCGGCGACCCTGCTACCTAGCCTTCCTGGACCTTGAGAAGGCATTCGACGCCTGCCTCGCCTGTACTCTGGAGAGCGCTCAAAAACGCTGACGTTCCGGAGGCCAACCTGTTCCTATAGATAAAGAATAGTAACGACGGAGCTAAAGCGCTGCACGCACCCCGCACGGCTTGACGAAGGAGGTAAACATCACGGTTGGGGTACACCAAGGATCAGCCCTCAGCCCGTTCCTCTTCCTCCTGACTCTAGATGTCATGGCAAAAGAACTCATGGAGGGACCGCTGAAAACCATCCTCTACGCTGACGACATCGCCCTGATAGCGGACAGCAGGAAAGAACTCCAGGGACAAGGTGCAGCGGTGGCAAGATGTGCTCGCTGAGAATGGGCTCCGGTTGAACGTGAAGAAAACCAAGTTCCTGAGCTCTGAAGAGTGTAGCGAACCCATCGTAGACCGTCACGGCGAGAGCATCGAAAGGGTCGAGGACTTCCAGTACCTGGGAGCCACCTATCAGCTGATGGCAGCGTGGATCAGGCGGTGAAAGCCCGAATCAACGCAGCCTGGATGAAATGGAGGGAGTCCACTGGAATCCTGTGCGACCGGCGGTGCTCCAGAACACTCAAGGCAAGGTTACCGGCGGTGGTATAAGGCCTACAATGCTCTACGGTAGTGAGTGCTGGCCCATCTGCAAGAACCATGAAAGGCAGCTCCATTCAGCTGAAATGAGGATGCTGAGATGGGCGTGCGGTTGGACACGACTCGACAGAGTCAGAAACGAGGATGTCAGGGCGGTCACACAGACGGCCCCGATCCAGCTGAAAGCACGAGAGCAGCGACTGCGATGGTATGGGCACGTACTGAGGAGGCCTGAAGATGAGCCACCAATAAAGAAAAGCTATGGAATCTAAGTGGAAGGCAAGCGACCACGAGGGCCCCAAAGAAAAGATGGAGGGACGTCATCAAGAAGGACCTCACTGAAGTGAAAGCCACGGCAGAAGATGCAGTGGATCGGAACAAATGGCGACGTCTAACAAGAACAGCGGACCCTGCGACGGCGCGGGACTAACGCTAGGGAGAAGAAGAAGAAGAAGAGATAAAAGTAAGTGTCCCTGCAGTGCAGACAATAGCAATGGTGAGCCGTACCTTGGGAGGGGCAGAAAAAAGTCACGTTGGCCGCGAGCGCTATCAGTAAACTTTACGCACTCCAGATACAAGACGTGGATACGAGTGCCAGGGCGGAAGATACCCAAGCTGTTCCTCGATAAACAGGAGCAGGCTCTTGCCCATCACCTTAATGTATACCAAGAAGCCATCTCAGTCGCAGCCTGACTGGAGCAGGAAGCCTTTAGTGGAATACACGTCTGCTCCAAACAGCTGCGAAACTTCTTGCATGGGGCTCATCCATGGACAGCTCCCTGGAGACCGGCACTCTTGTTGCAGAAGACCTCCAACATCGAGCAGCTCCGACAACGTCACTACGGTCCAGGATATCTTCCTTACTGTAATCGCCAAGGCTCGGGTTGATGATGTGGACCGGAAGATTGGGAAGACCGATATTTTCTTCGTGGACCCGGACTGAAAGTGAACGCTGACGGTTACATCGACCAACTCGAGGAGAATATCCTCCCTTCATGTCGTCGCCTGTACCATCTTGGGAACTGCTACAGGATTGGGTGCCAGCAGGCTGAATCGAAAGGCGTTGGAAAAACTCTCGACCTACTTGAAATCGGAAAGGCGCTGTTGAGTTTACCTATGAAATGAAATAATGCACCTGACTGGAACGCCCTTGATATACTGAATTTGGGCGGAGCGAACAGGGATATCAAGGACCCGCGAGAACTTTAGGCACCGATCGCGCGCGTGCGCAAACTCTCGATGGCTCGAAGCTGTGCCGTATTTTCGTGATAGTGTATATACAATGTGATTGTTCAATATGATGGGAGGGAAATGTCCAGTCAGAATTTAATAAAGTGTCATTCATATCGCCTTGAAAATCGAGGAGGAAAAGTGCCTTTCTTGCCCTCCCCCCCTGGAGGTTAAAGCAGGTGGTCTCCCATTGGAACCGTGCGCACCAAACATAATTGGACCAAAACATGATGGTGAGTGGAAGCAAAGGGCTCAAGATTTGCCACAACAACAAGGAAAGTCGCTTAGGAAAAGGGGAAAGCAGTTGTGAAAGATTCAAAACGAATCAGAAAGTGTTCGAAGAGTGAGGAGAGCCGACGAGTGAAGGGGATCAGGACTTCAGGATGACCTGGCTTTACGCACGGCATGGTCGCAAGACTTCCGCCAGACGGTGCTAGTTGCGGTAGGTCAGAGTAAGCGAGCTGCGCCAGGTAAGGAGCGTTTTCTGTGCATGACGAATTTCGTAAGCAAGTACCTTGGCTCATTAACACACTCTTTTCTTGAATGTATTTTCCTGAAGTGAATCATAATTTCAGATGGGGAACAAAAACGGAACGAATAGATGTCACACTGAACGTTGAACAAGCGAACTACACTCGTGACGCATGGGTGAAAGCGCTTCATGCACGACTGTTCGATTATCTAGGTAAGTATTTTGGCCACAGCTCCTGTTGTTCGTTAAGTAAAGAAATAGTATGAGAGTTTTCCTCGGCGTTTTCGTAAAATATTTTAACGGTCGCGGAGCTAGGGAATACCCGAGAGATGATCGCGGTGTCAGACGACTTTGAAAAATTTCTTCTTCTGCTATGATTCCCCTTCCTTCAATCATACCTATCGTCTTCCTCCCACAATTTCCCATCTTCTTACCATTTTTTCCCAGTTTTCCGAAAAAATCTCCTTCACCCCTTTTCCTGAAAAACCATCAAGTGGGGGAGGTCGACACCAGCCAACTACTGACTTCAGCTACTAGAAACAGGGACGTTCTGCCGCTAAGGAAAATTTCGCACAATGCGGCCCTCTTCAAAACTTCTATCCCTGATACGACCCCCTTCCCCTTTGCCCATCCCACTTACCTCCTGAATTCCACATTTTTTTTCTCATTCCCAGACGCGCTGGAGCAATGGGAGCTGCCGATGCAGTCATCAGTCAGCTATGTGTCAAACATGACTATAATCCAAGTAGACCAGTTAGGAGCTTTTGCTGTCGACCATCTCTTTCTGTAATCATGTTTTGTGGATTTTTATGTTCATTTTCTAATTTAGTGGCTGCTGTGAATGATGCCATAGAGGTTGCCGAGGGACAGGATACGGGTCTTTCAATTGGAATTCTAGATATTTATGGATTCGAAATTTTCGAAAATAATGGATTCGAGCAATTTTGGTGATTTTGCCTTTCGTCTGATCAATTTAGAGCTTTCGGTGAAATGTCTATGAAGATAACATTTCAGTATCAACTTTGTCAATGAGAAAAACTAACAACAAATTTTTCATTTGAAACTCACGCTGAAAGCGAGCAGAGGAATATGGTGCCGTGAAAAGATTCGTTGGCAATGAAAATCGACTACTTCAATAATAAAGTCGTATGCGATCTCATCGATGGCAAAACGACCACTGCGTGCAGGCTTATTTAACGGAGCGTTTTTTAGCAGAGCAGGAGTCACAGCGATGTCATTTGTAAAGGGCCTGTTCTCAATGTGTGCTATATTTTGAAGGTACTGTTCTGTCTACAATAAGCGTGTGCTTAAAAAATAGAGACATTCTGCTTTCTTACTGGGTCAATTCCAACGCGCTCAATTGACCTTTACGTTCAATGAAAGACGCACTCTGTCCCCCGCACCACATGATCATAGCGAAAGTTGCCTCTGGAAGTGCGTTGAAACTGCTGAAGTGAAAGCTTCCTGTCGTACCCTTGCTCGTTCAGTGTATCTTTATGGAGCGATAGTTCGCAACCCGTTTGTAACATTACACTGTGCAATGGGAAGTATTACTTTCTAACCCCGTTCAATTTTCAAAAAAAGCATTATTTTCATTACATTTTACAGAGCCCGACACTATTGGGGTTTTTTATCAGTAACACCGGCAAATGACTTCGCTTACCACGTCCGCAGTTCAGAGGGGTGTGTGAGCGCGGACGGATGCACCTCTGGCCAGGCCCCATTACCTTTGAAAGATAGCCTGTACACTTACCTCCCGTGAATCCTAATCATTACCATATGTGAGGATGGGTCCGCACCTGCTTTAGCATGCCATTTTCTTCTCAGAAATGCATGGGAATGGGGCTGGAAGGTAGTGATATCCTGGTGCCGTCTTCATACTCCGCCTGCACTGCCACACGGCCAGCCCCACGCCTAACCATAGTCAAACGCTCTACTCGATTGCGCCATTCTGATTGTTTTCTACCGTCGAGTGAGTGTTCCGCTATGGGATGAATGGACACAAGTGCCGCACCACATTGAGGATAGCGCAGGCGGAGTATGTAGATGGCATCCTGGTATCACCCCCCCCCCCCTCCAGCTGCTTTCCCGTGTGCTTTTGAGCAACAAAGTGGCTCTTTACTGCAATTGCGGACTCATTCATTTCTCTCATGGTAAGAACCGTTACCGGTGGTGAGGTCACATTCCTCTTTGATTCCACAGCTACCTTGGAGAAGAGGAACATTGACATCTACATCGGAGAGCGCTGCAACATAATTCTATAAGTACTCTAACAGGTCGAATTCACCAACAATTTTCAGGCATTATGTGCATTCTGGACGATGTGTGTGCGCAAAATCATGGACAATCTGAGGGAGTTGATGCACAGCTGCTAAGCAGTCTCAACAAGACCTTCGTCCAACATCCGCACTATCAGAGCGGAGCTGAATGCTTTTTGGTGAAGCACTACGCTGGTGATGTGAGTGGTATCTTCTGCTGTTTAGAGAAATGGATCCGAGCTCGAGGCACGTTGAGGAATCCCAAAGAGGGTCGTATTTGGCCTATGGAGGAGAGTGAGGGGGTCGTGTTCGGTCGTGAAAAGATTTTTTTAATTGTAGCTTTTCTGAATTTACGCGACGCGTTCTATGCCTCACCAGCCCGCAGCGCTTCTATTAGTTGATCGGACAGTCCACCCCGTCTTCTTCCTCCCCGAGAAATTGAAGGAAAGCTCGGTAAGATAGAGTGTTGGTTGTGATAGGGGGTCGTATTGGAGAAGGGAATGGGAGGGGGTCCTTTGCAAGGACGTGTCCTGTTTCAGTTGGAGATACTAGGGATGTGGAGTCTGGGTCATCCGTTGAAAGGGGAAGTACAGGAGAGGTACGTGGAGTCCGGATCGTCGTTATGCTGGGCAGGGAGGTACAGGAATGGTGATACATTTCCCAGCGTTTCACATTAATTGCTTTGGGATAGTTCCACACTCGCTGTATTGGCGGAGCCGGTCCTAACAATGCTCCCCCTTCACAGATAGAGCACAAAATGGAGCTGCGAAATCAGTTCAAGCCTACGAAACTGGAGATCAGTAGACGAAGTAATGTCCTAAAGTGGTATGATAGATCAACGTGAGTAACCTGTCCTAGGATCGTCTATACAACGTCGATGGTTTTCTGTGATCGAAATCGAGATTTCTCTATCCATTCATTCTGATCCTCATGCAGCAAAGCCTCGAAGTATGTCTCGCTCATCTGTCTTCAAGACCTTTCAAGCTAATTTGTGGCATAAGAGATTTGGCAAAAGAAAGGGGCCTCGGGTTAGTGCACCCCTTATTGAACCGAGGTAGGATCCCTAGGTTACGGTATATCGCTTGGAAGATTGACATCATCCATACCACCATAGCGTTAGGAAACACTGGTCATTTACCTTCTGGTTCTGCTCTTGAACGACTTTCTGGACGAAGCGAATTTACAGCCATCTAGCCGTATGATTAGGGTTTTATTTGTTTGTCTTCAGGGGCAGCCTCGTGGAGTGAAACACTAGGGGGTCGTACTTTTTCATTCTGTCGAAAGGGAGGCGGCGGGTCGTGTTTCGCTGTTGCTGGGAGAGGGGGGGGGTAGTATGTGGCTTCAAGAGGAATTTGCCGTGCTGGGAAAAAATTTTTTCCGGTTAGTGATTTTTTTGTGATTTTTCCTGTATCATGTGTACTATTTTACCTCTCCCTCCCTGCTGCCCTGCCTCTCCTCCCCCTTCCGCTCGATGAAATCCTTGATGAAAAACTGGAAACGTGATGAATCGGTAGGTAGCTGTTTGGGTTTCGGGGTCGTAGCCGGTACCTCGTTTCCGGGGGGGGTCGTATGACCCCACCATTTCACACATCACGATGGCTGTACGCCCTGTCTTTCTTTTTTTTCAGCTGAAGCCAAAAAAAGTTTTCGAAAGGGTGTGGTAAAATACGTCAGCACGCGGGCGCAAACCGCGTTGCAAGCATACGTCACCTGCGCGACCCTTATTCAGGACACTAAATTGTTTTTAAAGGCAGCAGGCTCGCCGACCGCAGATTGCGGGAAACAGAACTCAAATACGAACGAAAAGTGCTAAGTATCTGATTAGAGGAGAAAAGCAGCAGAAAAAGCAGTCCGAAATGTTATGGAGAGAGATAGCACTGTGGCTACTAGCTAGTAGCTAGCAGCCGCTGGGTCGGCATGGGCCTAAGGGGTGTCCATGGGCCTAATTAGTCAGCTTCTAGCGGAGTTCTTGCCGTTTTTCACATTTTGAAAGTAGCGCAGCCTCAAAAATCGCCTTCCGGATCGTCCGACACATTTGAGAGGTCATAGCCTTATTTTATCGCGGGAAGTGCCTTTAATGCGCGGGTGCCATAGTATGTCAAGTCTAGGTTATTATGATAGCTTTGATGACGATATTCCACCTGCGACTTTTGGCCATTGCGCCAGCCCCCACCACCATCCATAATTCTGCTAACCTGATTGAATTTTCAGTTCATTCCTTCGTTCTCTGTTTCCTGACAATGTAAACGCCACCACGGGTAAACGGCCAACTACCGTTTCGACAAAGATTAGGGTAAGTTTTTGTACCCGCAGCTTTATGTACGCCACTCGAGCAGATTCGTTGATCGGATGGGTTTTTCCAGCATGCCATGTGCCATTTCAGAATCAAGCGAACGCTTTGGTCGAATCTCTGATGAAATGCACGCCGCATTATGTGCGCTGTATCAAACCAAACGAGACGAAGAAACATGGCGACTGGGATGACCAGAGGTAGTTGTCACTTCATTGTCTTCCTAGCTTCCTTGCTCTACTGCCTCTGAGTTCATGCAAGGGAATCTTTCCATTTCAGAGTTCGTCATCAAGTTGAATACCTCGGTCTTCGGGAGAATATTCGTGTGCGACGTGCTGGATTCGCTTATCGCAGGGCATTCGAGAAGTTCTTGTGGCGTTATGCGATCCTGACCAGCGAGACGTGGCCAACTTATCGTGGTGACCCAAAGCAAGGATGTCAGGTATGTCAAGTTCTAGAGCGATTGGGTTATTATTGCGCTGGTATCCATGAACCAAAAGAAGTCAGCGAACAAATTTATGAAGCTCTAAGGTAGCGGATACAATAAGTTGGCTAGACGTGTAGGACAAAGACGGCTATCAGATAGAAAAGAAAGGGGTCTACCGCGTGTTCTCTCAAGATGTCGAACTAACGTCCTCCCGAAACGCTGGCGACCGGCTCCGGGAATGGCCACCCATTCCTTTAGCGCGCAACTTCGCCAGAGCGTCGAACCCCGAGTTGTTGTCGTAACGTATGAACGCAGACCAAAGAGGGAAAAGTGGGGATCATATACGATTGCCCAGAGTGTTTCCCAAGAGTTCTTGTGTCTCAAAAAAGTGTGCTGTGCTCGAGCGTCATCTCTTGTGGACGCGGCCACGATTTTTGGAAACTGTAAATTTTTATTCGCTTTCTCATCACCTTCATTTTGTACCACCAGCCAAGTTAGGGTACCCCTAACTTAACGAATAATATCAAGTTGCAGCACGATCACTTAGG